ATGTTGGCATCCATCTTCCGCGAGAGCTTGCTGTCCGGCTGAATGAAAGAATTCTTGGGCAGAATGCGCAGGAACTCTTCCGAGGCGTCGACAATGTTACCGTCGGCGTCTTCTCTCCATAGCAAGCGTGGAGGAAGGTCAGGGACGCCGGACATCACGTCGTAATAATCCGGTATCTCCCGGTCCTCCTCCCCTTCGATACCTTCCGCCAGACTCTCGCCCGCCGCATTCAATTCGATGCCTTGTGCATTTGCTTCAAGAGCCTTGTCGCCTTCTGCATTCACTTGCATGTGGTTTTTAAGCCACCTTCTCATCCCAGCTTTTGTGCGAAGTAGGGCGGGCTCGTCCGAGTTCAGCTTGTCACCCTTGAAGAGACGGTGTCGTTCGGCTGCAATCATCGCTCGATCTTTCTTGGTGACCTGCTTCCAAACTTTGTACTCCGGGTCCTCGAGTTCCACGCCCGAGGCCGGCAGCGCGCTGGAGGCACTGCTCGAGGGTGCCAAGCCATCGATATCCATCGAGTCACCCTGACTCCCCGGTACCCCGTTTCCAAGACCTGAGGGGTCCGACGGCGTTGCAGTTCCGGGCGGCGGCGGCGTCGCGAACCCATTCTGGGTGCCTTCCATGAGAGCATCGGAGTCGGAACGGACAGGGGCAGGGGGCTGCGAGGACGAACCAGCGGGAGGTTCTGATCCGCTGGGGGTGTTTCGAGTCGGCGCGGCACCTTTCTTGGACGATTTACCGGGAGCCTTTCGACCTCTTGACGACATGATCGGCTCGTCGTCGCTCTCCTCCGCTCCGTCCAACTCGGCCATCTGCAGTCTGCGCTCTTCCGCCTCAACTTCGGCTCGATCTTTGATCTGAATGTCAGGGATTAGGGGGACCAGTTTCTCCGTTTCCTTTTTCATATACATAGCGTGTTTGCGCATGAAGTGATCCGGGTGTGTATTGTACTTGAAGCAGTTGGTCCAAATCAGATTAACATCGTCCACGAAGTCCTGTTTTGATCGGTACTGCAGAGCTTTGAGTTTTTTCGTCATAGTCCCCAGGTCCATGGGATGCTTGATGACTATTATCGATTGTCAGTAAATTTGTCCCGGAGAATATCCGCATATGCTAAATGCGTGCGAGGATTGGGTTAGAGGCATACTCGTATAGTAATCGGGAGCGTCGCGTTTATTGACACGAGTCAAGAAAGCCGAGGAGTGCTCCGTCATGGCTTTCAGCTCACTGAGGACCTTCTCGGCAGCTTCGTACAGTTCTTCCTGGCCGATTTTATCCTCACTCGCCCACTTGCTTCTGTTCTTGCGAACTTCGCTCATCAGACTGCGCAGTTCCGCATCCGAAGCTTGCACCATGGTCCGCTTCATGTCAATTCGGGCGATCAGGTTCTTCAACGTCAGGCTGGAGGCTCCAAGGTTCGCGTTGCTCAGCGAGCCGTAGCCGTTTGAGGCCGTGTTCGCGTTGGCGCCCGAGTTGGCCTGGCCCGACATTTCGGCCTCAACCTGCCGCTCGGACTCTTCTAGCCGCTGCTGATCTAGCATGGCGTCTCTATCATTCTCCAGGGTATAGAACAGGGTGTGAAAGCTTCGCTTGGCGGCATCCTCCGTCGCCTTCTTGTCTTCCTCTAGCTTCTTGCGAATATCCTCGAGCGTTTCTTTCTTCGTCTCCTTCGAGGTCTCTGCCGCGGCCGGGGTCGAGCTGCTGGGAGGGTGACTAGGGGAGGGTATGCCGCTGGCCTCCTGTGAAAGGGGCAAGGGCTTGGGTTTAGGCAGGGAAGCCGCGTCGGCATCGTCCTCGTCGTCATCGTCATCGTAGTCGTCATAGTCGTCGTCGTCCAGCTTCCGGGCGGGCTTCTTGGGGGCAGCCGGGGGTGGAGCGGGCTCCTCGGCGCGTGGCAGATCGGCCTCAGGCACGTCAGGGAGCGCGCAGGCGGAGCTGGTCAAGTCCTCGGCGGCTTTCTGGTTGGCAAACAAGTCATTTATCTTCGCCTCGCTGCGTTTGTACAGATCGCGAAACGTGGCGATGCGTGGGTCCTCCTCGGCTGCAGCATCAGCCTCCGATATCAAATTACCCGCGTGAGCGGCATCGGTATCGACGGAGGCGCGCATCAGGGGGGTGCGCGGACCGGACAGCGATTTGGAGTAGCCATTGACGGACCGCACGTCGTGATGATCATCGGGAGGGCGCAGATGGCCGGGGGGCAGCCAGGCGTGGTTGTGTCCGAGCGACATGCTCGCTCCAAGACCCCGGTTCTGGGGGCGGGCGAGGGGGCTCGCTTCTCCACGGTTATGTTCAGGATCGGGAGGGCAGCACAGAGGGGGGTTGCGGGTTGGAAAAAGACATGAAGAGAAAGGGCAGGGTGAGAGGAGTTGAACGCCGATATTTCCGGGGGACGAACGATGGTCCGAAGGGGGGAGAATTGATGGCAACTTTCGGGCTGAGGTTCTCTGCGCGGATGAGATGAAGTCGAAAGGCGGAACGGCCGCAGTTTTCAGACCAACCGCGCAGTTTGTCGCTACTTTTTACTAGTCTCTGGCGGTCGCGATGCGATCCGTTTTCCTCTGGTCGCATGGACCGGGGAATTAATGAATTAATATATTAAGAGAAGAATGCGATTCGCCAGACCAGTGGTCGAAGGGAGTGTCTGACACACAAAGGGTCTTTGACAGCGAGACGGGCAGAAGAAGACAAGGAGAAAGAAAGTTGAATTCCTCGACGGTCTTCGGCCGATGGGGCCAGGCCAGCGCTGCACATGACGCATCCGTCGACGTTCTCTTCTCTACTCTCTCTCTCTCTCTCTCTCTCTCTCTCTCTCTTTCGCTTCCTCTCTCCCTCTCTCCAAACCTCAACGACTAATCCTCTCTCCCGATATCCACTCCCTCCTCCAATCCCTCCCATCATGCGAATCCGCTATCCTTTCGCGGGTACGTTCTCCCCTCCTCCCCCAATTCCCCTCGCACCTCCGCCCGGGGAAAGCTGGGTCGGCCATACCCGCAGATCTCCGATCGATCGGTTGATGCTATTTCAATTAGAATCAGCTAACCAAACCCCCCTCTCAACGCAGGCGCTTTCATCTTCCTCCTCATCCTCGCCGCCTACATCGGTCTCCTCCCTCATGGCTCCTACGGCAGCGTGCCCGTCCAGCTGCAACCCAACGACAAGTTCCTGCACGTCATCACCTTCTTCCTCCTCTCGCTCGTCTTCTACTGGATCCCCGACACCACCCGCCGTCGCACCCTCCACCTGACGCTCGTCATCTGCACGCTCGTCCTGGGCATCGGCTCCGAGATCGTCCAGGGCCTCCTCCCGAACGGCCGCTCCTTCGATCCCTTCGACCTCCTCGCCAACCTCGTCGGCAGCGTCGGCGCCATCGGCCTCTGCAGCTGGTACCACCGACGTATGCTCGAGCGGAGACGCAAGGCCCGCTTTGGCGCCATGGGTGACGGCGCCGGCGATGACATCGAGCTGGGCCATCCCCTGGAGCACGACGACGATCTCGGGCCGCAGGAATCGGGCGTCACGACGCTGGAGCAAGAGGTCGATAACTGGGATGAGAATGCCGTCGATAACTGGGATGCGGAGGATGTCGAGGAATCTGCTGCCGGGACGCCGGCACCGCGGGACGCAAAAACCTCGCCGTCTGCTGTCAATGTCGACGACGAGGGGAGGAAACGAAGCGATTAAGTACGTCGTGGGACGTAATCTCCTTCAATTCCGGCCTTGAAATCTTCAGCAGAAAACGAAAGGAAACAACAGCAAAGCAACGCAATTGCGGCGCGGCTCTCCCTCTCCCTCAAAAAAAAGGCATTAAACACCAGAAACCTCTAGGCATTTATATTGATCTAGATCATTCTCTCTCTTTCTATCATCCAGACCATCACTCTTGATCTCACGACTCATCTGCTTCCTATATCACCTCATATCATGTCTTACGCTTATCCTGACGTTTCATGTATTGTCTCTCCCTCCCTCCTCGCCCCACTCACTCACTCACCCACCATGACTCAAAAAGTCGAATCGTTACGATAGTTTACGGTTTACGTCATTCTCTTTCCTCTTCTCATCCCTTCTCTTCACATTTCTTCCTCTCTCTTTGGTCTTATATACCGGGGGCGTAGGGCTGGTTCCGGCATGCTTTGTTCCTGCTTCTGCTTCTGCTCCATTTTCAGCATCAGCTTCACTTCACGCATGCGCTTTTCGGCGTTGTATGTACATACTACAGGCGGGGGATTGAATTGAATGTCTTAGCGAGTGGTTTAGCTTATTTAAGTAATGTTTGTCATGAAAGAAATGGAATCACTTGGTTCGTTCGTTCCTATTTGTAGGTAGATGCGTTGCTATTATTAAACTATAGTCAGCACTAGGTATGAAATTGAAGCTTCGGGCACGAAATATATAAGCGCACTAACTACGTGAAGGGGCACGCTACCAACGATCAAAACACCAAATTAATTCAACTACCAATTGACACCACACCCAAAAGTAATGTATCAAAAGAATTTGATTTTCCTAGGTACCTCTGTATGCACAAATAGCCATGCATGGAAGGTAGAAAGCGAGCTGATCATGTCTGTATTATTGGAAACCTTGATTTATGAAACCAGCACCAGGAGAACAAATAAAAACAATGCTCTAGATGAAATAGTTACTATGAAGGTGTCGAGAAGAAAATATTAGAAGCAACACAGTAGAGTAGAGTAAGTAGCATGGGAGACATGAGTATCATATATTCAATATTCAAACAAGATGACACGCAGGATGCAAGGGTAACAGATCCACTGAAATCAATGCAAAATAGGGGAAACTCATGGTTGGTCGTTAACGAAGACAACAACAACAAAAAAAGATGCAACGTAAAGAAACATCAGAAAGCTATATCAAAAAAAGGGCCATATGTACGCGAATGGGTAAATAAAGAAACAGAATACTTCAAAATGGGGCTGTGGTCTAAGCCAATAATAGCAGCCAGCACAAAAGAATGAAACCCTTCAAGCAGACTACTCATTGTCTGAAACCTCGGGCGTTCCTGACCAGCTCCTATTAGGCGTCGAGCGGCGATCGGAGACGAGCTCCAGCTCCGGTTTAGCTGATGGCAGGTAGTCGCTTTGATCGGAAAGTTTGGCCATTTTCGTGGTTCTTTCGTCGGACTTGCGTTCGGTGGCACTGACGACCTTTCCAAGCTTCACGTCCACTTGCTCCCGCAGGACCTCGTAGATGAACTGCAGCTGCATTTCGTTGTAGACCATCATCATGCGTTGTTCTCGCATCTGATTGACGGTTTCGAACACCGGATCAGTGCTTTCGTCAGGCACCTGCAACAGTTGCTCCGACTCCAGTTCTAGCAGAAGATGGTCAAGAGCAATGAACGTGCCTGTCCGGCCGACACCGGCGCTGCAGTGCACGACGCGAGGATTCGAGGGTGAGCACTTCGAGCCCGACAGTCGGATCAGTTGAAGCAGCGCGTCGCGGTCGTCGCCTTCCGGCTTGGAGTAATCCGCCCACCCCGCGAATAGAAAATGCCAAACGACCTTGGATTCATCACCCACGGTAAGACGCAGCTTTCGGATCTCGGAGCGAGCTTTCTCATCCCAGGTGGTTTCGAGCAGTGCGACCTCACCGATGAGGTGGTCGTCTGTCTGTTGTTGACCATCTTCGTTTATGTAGGGATGGCCTCTCTCGACCAAAGCCATGGCGGGAGCCTCCTCGTGGATGGGGAAGTATTGCGAACATTTCTCTCGGCCCGCTTCGACGGTTTGCGTGAGCATGACGATCACGCCAACTTCAGTGGATTCGTGGAAGACCATCTGCCAAAAGTGAGGGATGTTGCCGATTTTTGGTCCCTGTGACATGGAGACGTTAGACAACCCGACCGACCGACAAACGAAGAATCGCATACTCACCTGCGTCGCAATATACCTCCGTTCCTCCCGAGACACCGAATCCTGCAGGACGATCGGCGAAGCATTTATGAAGTCACATTCTCCCTCGGGCACTGGAAGATGAATGCGAGAATTTGCCCAGGCCTGCACGTTGATGTATCGGTTTCTTGCCTTAACCTCGGGATCGGCCTCCAGCGCCCAACGATGAGACGAATCGTTGGCCAGCATGCCCTCCGCCAGACGAGACCGTTGTATCCATTCGAGTTCTTCGAATTTCTGGTGGATTTCTAGCGAGACAGGGTTATCTTAGCGAACGGTAGATGATTTTGGGTCGTGTTTGTTTTGATTGCGAAAGCGAGGAGTGATCATCCGGATGAACCGAGTAGAGGGGTAAGGAAGAACAGAAGGGGCGCGAGACCAACCTAAGACAGACTGGCAGAGGAAAGGAGGAACCCGTTCGTTATCGCCGGCTTCCAAGCCGGGGTTGTCGTTGTCGGGCCCATCCAGGATGTCGAAGCCATCGTCAGGATCCTCGGGGAGGGCCCGCTTCGTCGCCTGCACGCTGGTATCGATCTTGATGGTGGGATGAGCCATCTTGGCCGCAGCAATCCTCTGGAAGGCCCGAACCTTGCCCAGGACGCCGCGCGCCTTCTTCGAGACCCGCTTCCTAGTCGAGTCAGGCCGTCGGGGTCCGCTACGGAGGCTGACGGTGCCGGGAGATGGAGAGCGGGATGGTGGTGCAGTGATAAATTTCCCCTCCGTAAAGCCGTCGGGCGGATCGTCGCTTGCGCCGCCTGCGGGTTGCGGCAGGGATGATATCTGTAGCGTCGATAGATCGGGACAGCTGTGGAAGCTGTCCCTCGACGTAATTTGCTTGGCCAGCTTTAAGGATCTCGAGATGTCTCGGGGAAATGGTCGACGATGGATTCGTAAATTATCGAATGCTCTATAAATGAGAGGGAGCCTCCGACTCGGCGCAATCGTTCTGGCTGCTGCGAACGGCGCAGTCGCAATTATGACGAGTGACGGAATCAATTCTCCGCAAACAATTATGATTTAAAAAAAAGTATGCGCGACCGGTTGATTTCGGAAAAGGAAGGAGTTGAAAAGACAGGTATTATAATTATATAAAAGCAAAATAGGGAAAGAGAAAAATAAAGAATAATGTATCAGAGCCCAGGAGAAAAGGGTCGCGAAGGCATAGATTATGACCGGACGGTCTTCCCGGATCGATCAAACGGACGTGACCAGCAAGTCCAAATAACCTCAAACAAAGCGAGGCGAAGGAATGGTAGATCAGACTGGGAGAAGACGATCCGGTCAAGGCGAGAGACGCTGGAGGGAAAGACGAGAAGGCAGGACGAGGACGAGAGAAGGAAAGAATGGAAAGGGAGAGAGAAAAAAAACAGGGACGGACGATCCCAGTGGGAACGCGGCGATGTAACTCAATCTAGGGACGGGGGAAAATTAAGATTAATATTAGGAATGATATAATAAATATATAGTCCGGAGGGCAATAAAAGCAATAATGGTCCGGAGACAATTAAAATAATATAGAGTTCAGGGAACTTAAAGTGCAATTGTCCTGCAGAACATCGATGGAAGCTCCGTCGAAGCCTTTTCTGCTCCACGCGAGATGAGAAAATTGATCAGCGGCTGACTCATCTAGTGGGCGGTGAGTTGCTCCTCTCCTTGGAGAAAGGAGTCTTTTCTCTCTCTTCCTTGTCCACTTGCCCACTTGTCCACTCCCACAACCATCGTTCCCAATGTCCGTGGGAACCCGCCATATCGTCAACCACAACAATACGCAGTAACATTCCGCTGATGGACTCGATGATGTCCAAGAACCACGTCTGCAGTAAATCCAACGACGCGTTCTTATATCCGCCAAATCAGCACGACAAATTCTGCACCCTTCACCACGCGACCACACAGGGGAAGAGCTACGGAGTCTCCGGCAGTCTCTTACTTAGCTTGTAAACCATACACTTTTCTCATACACGAACCGGATACAGATTGGGTTGTATCTACATTGCGCCGTGAGATGCGTCCCTCATTATATCCGAAGAAGAAAATTGTTCCTTTCCGCTTTGCCCGGTCAATCTTCTTTTCGACCGTTTGACTGGGCGTTGAATTTGGAATCATACATATCTGGATAATATTGCGTAGTTTTGAATTGAAGATGTCTATCTATCTAGGTTTTTTTTTTTTTTTTTTTTTTTTTTTTTTTTTTGCCGCTCGTTCAAACTTTCGTTAGACGTGTGTATTCCTGTAGTCCGGCGTACGATGGAAGAGCTTTGAACGATTGACTTACTAATGTGTTGGATCGTCAGCACTATTAGGATACTTGCACCGTTGCACGAGAACGAGACTGCCTGACGATCTGTGGCACCTGCATTGCAGAAACATGATATATCATTCAAGATACAGATCCCGAAGAATGATACCTCAGATCCGGTCTTTGCAACGTTGCGGCAAGGGCGTTGAGTTGGCCTTCCATGCTAATAGCACAAGGATCTGGTGTCGGGATTGAAGACTATTCTCATGGGTCGGCTCAGCCTGGTTAGATCGGTGAACGTCCAAAGGCTAGTTATTTATTACTTAAAATGAACAAATTGGTCTTTGGTTTATTTACTATCCATGTCTATAGTGGATATAATATGCATTATTGCTGCTCCACAAGCGCCCTGAACGCCCGCAGTAAGTCGTTCTTCAAATCCTCCCAGTGTTCCAACCCAACGCTCAATCTCAACAACTTCCGATCAACCCGAGCGTCGGACAGCGCACGCCACTCGATCAGAGACTCGACTCCGCCGAGACTCGTTGCGTGCTGGAAGAAAGCCAGCTTGCTAGGCAGCACGCGGGCGTACTCCTCCTTCTGGAGGATGATGGAGAATACCGGCCCGAAGCCGTTGGGCATCTGCTTCCGCAGCCAGGGCTCGTCCTGGAGACTGGCGTGGTGGATCTTTTGAAGAACTGTTTGAATGACCGCCTCGTCGCTGCCCGGGGCAGGCGATGAGGTATCCAGCGCACTCTGCAGCCATGAGACCAAGTTCCCCGTGGTCTCGCTGGCGCGTTGCACCCGGACTTCTAAAGTCCGGAGGCTGCGGACGCCCAGCCAGCCCTCCAGGTTGCCGATGACGCTGCCAATGGCGAGTCGGTCCTCGAGCAGCTGCTTGGTCCAGTTCTTGCGCTTGGTTGCGAGAACGCCGCAGAGCATGTCGCTGTGGCCGCCGAAATATTTCGACCCGGAATGCATCACGATATCTGCACCCCAAAGAAACGGGTCCTGCAAGCCCGGAGGGCCGAATGTGCTGTCGACGATAAGGTATGCGCCTCTCGAGTGGGCCTTCTGGGCGTATGCCTCGATGCTGAATGCTGTTCCGTACGGGTTCACGGGCGTTTCGAGCAGAATCACATCGCCTTCTCCCAGACTGTCGGCAGGGCAGTCGAGGTCGAGCTTCTGAAGTCCCGACAGTCGGGAGATGACGCTAATCACTTCGTGGCTGCCGTGATAGCCCTGCCCTACGGATATCCGGCGGGGATTCAGGAGAGTCAAGGCCGCATGTAGAGAAGCCAAGCCAGTAGCATAGCTTACAGCTTGACCACCTAGCAGTGAGGAGAGGATTGCTTCAAAGCGGGTCGCATTCGGGGCGAATTCTCGGGAGTATATGTAGTTCTTGCCATCGAACTCGTCCTACGGGGAGTGTTAGCCTTGCTTTGGTCGCCGCCGGTGGTTATCAAAACACGTACAACAGGATCGACAGATGGGACCAAGTCGTCGGGATTGCCGGGGAATCTGAATGTCGTCGACAAATGGATCGGGGGTGCGACATCGGTCACCAGATGTAGACGGTCATCGGCATGCAATGCACGAGTCGAGGGATGGCTGTTGGTTGATGGCGCCATTGTGTTCTGGAATCGTCGAGGAAATGTGAGGTGTGAGTCCAAGGAAATATGTAAATATGTCCCACACGTCTGTGCTTATAACCCGGCTTTCAGAAACTGCTTGAGACGATAAGATGCGAGGGCATTTCCATCTCTTTCTTATCGAGGCGATCCCCCCCACTCCAGTCAAGTTCCTAATCCGGATGTGATTAGATCATGATCCACGGAGCTCACTCTCATTGGTGGAGACTGACCCACTCCCGTCAAGTTCCTGAAACGGTTAGATCCATCTTCACCCCCCGTGATGTTCATGGCCTCAGGTGCTGAGGGGAAAGACGATAAAAGTCCTCCAACTATCCCCATATCTCTAGACAAGAAGCCAGTCCCGACCTAGATTGCCGATTTTGAATATCCACTGAGGCGAAAACGGCTCCTGCTGTCCCTCTTGTTGCCAATATGTCTGCAGGATCTTGGCAGCATTGATCGTGTTGAAACATTTAGTGGCGGCCCAGAACTTCTCTAAACAACCAACGAGGAAATCTCGCTGGGCTTGCCATCGACATTCCAAGCCCGCAACAAAGATTGGCCACAAGATGCACTTGTACACTTCATTGTCCTCCAATGCACCGATCAAGCCAATCAATTCACACACCAGCTCATCCTGCGGGGAAACGTCGTTCGTAAGTATATCGAGGACACGCCGTCCATATATGAGAGCACTGATTTTCCACGACTGGGACAGTATACAAAGATTGTTCAAATCTCTCGTGGGGGATTGCGGTCGTGGTAAGCTTGAAGCCCAAAGATAACAATCGAAGTTTTGGATGGACTCGAGAACAGACGCGATTTCTTCTACACGGTGGTAGGTTTCGGTTTCCATCAGGGGATCTAAGCCCAAGACGGCGTCTCTCTGGCCCAGAATGTACTGTATTGCATCCAGGATAAACTCGGGACATCCAACGAAGGACTGTTCCACAACTTCTGAAGGCTGCCGATCTAGACGATCCACTGAAATGAACTGGGACAGCAATCCCGGTCGTACAAAGGTTGCTCCGAGTGTTTGGATCCTTACTGGCAGTCAGTCACTCGTTCGCCTCATCTCAGTGTCCACGCCTGAAGACATACATATAGATTTGCCGCGTGATGAAGTCACGAATTTCCTGAACAGTTTGACCGGGCCCTTGGTTGACCCCTATGCTTGAATTTGGGGATGGCTGATCTAGGGTGATCAAGCTCTTGGCTCCTTCGAGATGAATGTTCCACTTATCGCTCCCCGACTCTATGAGATCCAAAAATATTAAAAGGAAGGCAGCAGCCACCGTGGTATGTTTCTTATGCAGTGTTGTATCATTTAAAGCACGTGAAAGCCCCTGCACGGCTTGATATTTGAAGGCCAGAGCATCCCGATGAGAATCGGCTAAAGGAGAGGGTGTCGGTTCGTCAATCTGGTAGAAAGAGCGGCCTGCGTTGGCTCTATGACGAGCAGCGAGGGCCAGAGAGGCCTTCAAAAGGACCGGGTCATCTAGAGCAAGAGATATAAAGCTTCTGAAGGGGTTCCTATCGCTGTCATATACGATGAAGAGCTTGCATATATGCTCGTGGTCTGGAATGCGACGTTAGTGTAGCTGCGGGGTCCAGCAAGAGAGCATGCTTACAATAATCTAGATAGTATTTGGAGGTTGCATCTAAGTTGGAGGTGACAGGGTCTCGAGGTACCAGTGGTAAGCTCAGAGAAGCTCCACTATGGGTACCTGAGCTATTAGTTTTCGCATTCATTCTTACACCTGCTTTTGACGCATCTGGGGTATCTTGAAACGAGACTCCCCGCATCTTCCCTCGGATAGCCACGCCTTTGACCCATCTAGGGGGCCTTGTCGCGTAGCATTCTACCCCCATTTTCTGGCACTTGACGCAAGGGATCTGCGACCGGTCGCATTGGATGCGCCGGCGGCGACATGTGTAGCATGGGTCAAGCATTGCATACTGTCCCAAACAGAGGGACCAAAACGTGGGCGGAATGCACGAGGGAGGGGAGGGGAGGTCGACTGACGTCACCAGCCACAATAGGGTCAGATTTAAAGTATCTGGGGCAGTGCTCTGTACAGGGCCAGAATGAGGGTGTCGAATGGTGGAAGAAGGAATCTGAGCGGAGGAGCGGGCAACCCCCACGGGTCGTCACATGACTGAGTGGACGCCACACGGTTTGCCTCGGATGGTCGAGATTTATCAATCTACAGTGTACTCCGCTACCACTGGTTCTAGAGCATTCTGTCTCGATTGAGGTAGAATTGCCCGGGATGCGAGTAGTAGCCAATATATATCGCCAACATGCGAAGGGCATCCGATGCATACAAGCAATCTAATAATCCGATTGCACATGAGGTATGCGGAGCCACATGGATGAACAGAGAGACACTTTACCTATCCTTGACAATAATAAGTAACTGACCAACAGCCAACTCCCAGAAACCACCATGTGTCAAGCACGGAAGAAACAGTCACAGTCTCGGCCACTAAGGAGGACTCAATACTACTTCGTACTTCAATGCACGATGGGAATTGGCCCCACCAATTAAAATAGTGAGTCGACCGATGGATGCTCCACTACTTTGAACTTCCCAAAAAGGCAGCCCAACGGAGAAGCAAACAAGCTCACTACTCGGCCATTCTTAGCTTTGCGGCTCGATCCTTGACCATGGGAGAAGCGATCTCCCTTCAATTTTCTTCTTTTCCCCACCGTCTGGCTTCTCGAAAAGGTAGTTATCGGGAGATGGCCGCCCATCTGGCAGCGAGGAACCTTGGGGAAGGTAGCAATCATGACTCCCCTGGTTCCAATTCGCTGAATCCTGCAGGTCCAGCTTGTCGTTTCGCTTGGTTAGTACAGCGCGGCAATTCTAGTGGCTTCGGGGCTAGGTCAAGGGAATCTCTCGGCGTCTTTATAAAGAAGAAAAAGAAAACTCTTTTCCTCCAACCGCATGAGTTGTTGACGCCGGCTTAGAAATCGCTGTCTTGCCTCCCAACAATATGACAAGTAGGATCTGAATGATATATATTCCAGCTCTTGTCCCGTCAACAGTTTTCTGTATGGATAGCGAACGGTCAGTTGCTTTCAGTTGCCCGAGATCGTATTGGAATTGGGACCATGATCTCGACAACACCTACACCGGCGGCGCTTGAAGCCAACGAGGAGAAATCGACCAAAGCCTCGTCGCCTCTACAGCAATATCCAGAGCACCACGCTGGATATGCAGACGATGCTTACATCGAGCAACTGGGACGACAGCGACCGCCATGTTTCGCCAATCTATTCTCGGAACTGGCCTTCTGCTTCTCCATCATGATGTCTCAGATCCTTGCAGTATGTCTTTTCTTCAGGACTTCTGTCTTCAAACTTTCATATAAAGAAAATACTAATACTTTCCCTCTAGGAATACTACATCTCCGGCTCGAACGTGCTTCTCCCTACCTTGGTCAAGGAATTACACATCCCCGCCGCTTCGACGATCTGGCCGTCGACCGCTCTATCTCTCGTCGTTACGTCAACGCTGCTCATCTTCGGCCGTCTGGCTGATATGTATGGCGGATACATTCTCTACGTCGCCGGGTTCACATGGATGATCATCTCTTCCATTCTCGCCGGCGTGTCCGTGTCCTGGCTGATGTTGCTCATCTGTCGAGCGCTGCAAGGCCTGGCTCTGGCTTGCTTTTTGCCCGCCGGGATGATGATCCTAGGCAGTACGTATCGACCAGGGCCGCGAAAGAATCTCGTCTTCAGCATCTACGGCGCCTGTGCGGCGCTGGGGTTCTTTGCGGGGATCTTCTTCTCCGGGATCTGCAGTCAGTTTCTCACCTGGCGATGGTACTTCTTTATCGGGGCCATCCTGTCCGGCATCACCACGATGTCCTCGTATTTTTACATTCCGAACGACTACGCGGAGAAGCGGAAATTGGGCATCCAGATGGACTGGGCCGGGTGCTGTCTTTCGGTGCCGGGGGTCGTGCTCCTCGTGTTCGCCATCGCGGAATGCTCGTATGCACCGCAGGGATGGCGAACGCCGTACATCCCCGTGTGTTTCGCGCTGGGGATCATCCTTCTCGCCATCATGACCTACGTGGAGGGATGGGTGGTCTCGAACCCACTCCTGTCAGGCGACATGTTCAAGGTGAAATACATGACGGCGCTCGCCATCGCCCTACTCTTCCTGTACGGCAGTCTGGGCACCTTCCTCCTCTACTCGGTGCTCTACATGTCCGACGTCATGGGCGCCGGGCCACTCCAAATCGTCGCGTGGGCGACACCCATGGGCGTAGGCGGTCTGATACTCTCCGCCGTCGGCGGCCTCATCTTCCACAAGATCTCCGGGACGATCGTCATGCTGATCTCGTGCCTCGGGTACCTGGGCTCGGGTCTACTTTTTGCGCTCATTCCACTCGGCGGGAATTACTGGGCCTTTGTCTTTCCGGCCATGATCTGCGGCACCGTCGGCATCGACATCAGCTTCAACCTGGCCAACATCTTTATCACCACCAGCATGCCCAAGGCCAGACAGGGGCTAGCCGGTGCGCTGATCAACTGCACCCTGCATCTGGGGATCGCCATCATGCTGGGCTTTGCGGATATCGTGCAGACGCAGACCAAGGGACTGGAGTTGTACAAAAACTACAAGGCGGTGTTTTGGTTCCAGACCGGGCTGGCGGGCACGGGGATGCTGATTGTGCTGTTCTTCGTGAGGATACACCACGCGAAGAGCGAGCTGACGGTAGATGAGCGAGAGGCGTTGGCGGCAGAGGCTAATCGCATAGAGAGGGAATAATCTTTCCTTCTCTTTCTTTTCATTTTCGGTTAGATGTACAGATAGTTATCACAAAATACTAATCCATCTTGTAGCCTTGCGGTGAACGAGTCACATTTGTTTAAGTTAACGCTAAGGATACAAGCTGTTGCTGTAGAATTGAATATACTAACGCCCCCGTGAGAACACATCTATTATCATCAAACTTACTGCCCCCAGAGTGAAGGGGAACGCCCCTTCACCATCGAGGTTCGTCTTGTCCCTTCTAGATTCACCTGTTCTACCCTCTTCCTGCCCTGTAATCTCTGCGTAGATAGTCTTCCGTCATCTTCCCTTAACTTCCCATCGCATCTCTCCTGTATAGACTGCTCCACACGTCCCTTGTGCCTTGCTCGCTCCCTGGTCCTCACAACCACGAGCAAGCCTGTATATGATATCTAGCGATGACATATGGAAAAGGCCGGAAACGGGTGGCTCTCCCAGAAGAAACCCAGTCCATTGGGGTTTTCACTGCCACGGAAACTGATTCTATGAGTCAGAAGTTACGTGTTTCGATCACCGAGGAAGTACAAGTCGTGCCATCCAAATCATCATCAGATTTCCATGTGGATGTTCGGCATCGCACGTTCCTGAAATGGGCCGCCGTATGCCAATATTCACAAGGGTGCGAAAGAAACCCGACCTTACCATTGGATTTAAATGGCGATCACCCTCCCAAAATCAATATCCACCGTCAGCAAGTCCCGACCAGGCATTTCCTATCACCGGAGACGTAGAAACCGCATTTCCGATTTTTACGTTAGAGGCGAAAACAAATGACCCCGAAAGTCAAAGAAACCCAACACCTGAGCAAAAGAAATTGATGAATAGAATGAAGGACCTCTAACATGGTGCTGATCTCGCCTCAGACATTCTGATGTTCGGAATGCAAAACATAACCGAATTCTAGCATTTCAAGAGCCTGTATGCCTGTAAATTTGAGGTCGCCAAGCGTTTGGGTAAGCCTGACCCCTGTATCTAACAGCGGTCATTTCACTAATTTATTCTAGAAGTCAACGACGTCAAACTTGTTTTGAATCTCCTGAACGATGTCGCAAATCGTCGGTTACTGCGCCATTTTCAAAAGCAGGTGATTTCCCACAGTCAGGTATTAGCATTCACACAGGTTATGTATTGTCTCGAGAGCATTTACCCGAAGCACCCTATACCTAGTGAGTTTGCAAACTTGTAAGCCTGCTGTGATGCATATCGAGAGGCTCATGACCGAACAATTGATGCCTTGATTGTCATCGTATCATTAGGCAGTGACATCCTAAGCCATGGAGAGGCAGTTCTTCTAGCAGGGAAGCGGTGGAGGTCTAGAGGTCCTCAACTCAACTCAAAGAAGCAAGAACGGACAAACCACGTGTGTGGCATTTGTGGAGAGACGGAAACTACAGAGTGGAGGAGACATCGGATGGATAGAACCCAGATCTCCTCAACGACAATTTCGGGATTTGCAGAAAAAGAACGTGGAACTCGAAGCTCAGTTGGAGGCACTCCGTAACGTTGCCAACCACGCTACCGGTGAGGCCTTGGGAAGCTACCCGTCGTTCACTGCGTGATGCCGAAACCACAGCTGCAACCCTGCAGGTCGAAAAAGAACAACTCCAACAATCTGTAACCGACTTACGCCAGTCCAGAGACAACCTGCAACATGTCCTCAACGTTACCTTTCTACTTCATCCCGAGCTGTGGATCTTTCCTATTCACTGAACGATTCTTTGTTACAACAAAGAATAGGGATACGGGCCGATTAGGTAGGAAGGGCCGAGAGGAGTTGTTCCTGGTCTTTTCCTCGTCTCCCTGAGATAGTCTCAATAACAACCATCCATTGATTTTATTGAAAAGCTTCATTATCGCATCAATTTCATCATTTTAAGCTAGTATTGCACATTTGGAGCCCGAGCCGCGGATCCTGTTCGACAATATAATTTTACCATATGGCTTGCCTCTGTTGTTCAGGACATCCGAAATCACACAATCGATGAGTATTTCTACGCGGACTAGAAGTTAGAAGACCAGGAATGCTTCAACTTCAGCCACTCAACACCTGCCGAACGGCGACGAGCTTTTTAGTAAATTCAATACTAATGCGACTCTGAACACCAATGCTCGTATATGCTGAGCATCGCCCCACCGGACAACCCCTACAGACTGCCCGCACCTCTCTCCAACAAACGAAGGCTCGAACCATCGCTCTCCCCGCTAAAAAAGAGCGACTCCAGCAAACTAATCAGGACCTCCGAACCACTCGAGATGCTTTACGACGAACTTTGCAATCCTTCTTCCTCCTGCATCTGGACCTGTGGATATTCGCACAGGGATAGAGGCTTTCGGGAAAACTTCTTCGAAGTTCTGGCTTTTAGCTCAGCCACTCTAGAAGAGCTTCCAAACGGGAATTTATTTTCTTGGTAATACCAAGGGTTGTAAGATTCTTGAATGCGAATCCCATCTCACGCATATCCCCAAAGAGATAGAACATGTCAACTCCATCGGGCAGCCTGTGCATAAAAGCTCAATCATAGGAATGTCCGCATTGCGAATGTCGATGCCACTAACGACCTGGCTTACACACGGCGTAAAATATGCAGCTCACTCTACTCCGAACGGCTGTTATATCATCTGTTAATACAGTACGTTGATTGTTTTTTCTTGGAGGTGCCCTGCTGGGAGGCCTGTTTACACCAGGTCGTAAGATATGCCACACGCCCCCTGAGTTGCATGCCACCAAAACAGGGCAAATAGAGATCAGGGTTACATTGCAAGCAAATTGTTTCCTTCGCTGCCGGGTGATAGTTCTTCTTCTAGAGGCCTTCAGGCTGGACTTGAAGAGACAAACGGTTGCGCCTACACGACCAGGCAGTTACTGCGGATTTTGAAAGGGCCAGGCGAGAAAAGTACCAATCTTTCCAACGCAAAAAGACAAAACTACGCAACCAATTAGACGCTTGTGCAATAGGATTCTGACAATGGCGGAATTGTTGAACATAAACGGGCAGCATCACGGTGTATAACGTATTCCACAAGTGAGTGGCCACCACAAGCGAGCGGCCACCTCCCGTATTCCATATAGAATGGCGCTTTTTAGGACATTGATATCTTAACAACAAAGCATCTAGAACTCTTAAAGGCTAAGATATTAGAATAAACGTATACTGTACTTATATACATTAAGTAGACTGCTTCTTAAAGTACAGGGTTCTCCAG